GTGAACATGAGAGTGCAGATATCTCTTCAATAATCCTGCTTTTGGTTCATTTAGATATATTATCTAGAAGTGGGATTCCTGGGTCATATGGTAAAAATCTTTACTTTTTTGAGGAACCAGAATACTCTTTTCCATAGTGGCTGTTCCACCTTATATTCCCACCAACAATGCACAAGGTTTCCAATTTCTCTATTTCCTCACCAACATTTATTTTCTGTTTTTTATTTTTAATTTTTATTTTATAGTGAATATCTTAATGATATCTCATTGTGGTTTTGATTTACATTTCTCTGATGATTAGTGATGTTGAACCTCTTTTCATATACTTGCTTGTCATTGTATATCTTCTTTGGAAAAATATCTATGTAAGTTTTTGCCAATTTTTAAATTAGATTGTGTTGTTGAGTTACAGGCATTCTTTATATATTCTGGATATTAACCCATTCAGATATATGATTTGAAAATATTTTCTTCCATTCTGTAGGTTGCCTTTCAATCTGTTGATCATGCCCTTTGATGTGTACAAGTTTCTTTTCTCTGCTTTGTTATCACACCTCATGCTTCTGATCTCTGCCCTCCATCACTGCTGCTGGTTACCAGTAAGTTGCATTTCCTCTATAGACTGATCATAAAGAAAGAAAATTTGATTTTTTTAAAAAAAATTATGTTCAGACTTTATCGTTTCTTTTAGTAATTCCATCCATCCATTCATTCATTCATCCATTCATTCAACAAGCGGGGGGAAATAAGCATCTTTGTTGAGCTCTATTCTGTGCCAGATGCTGTGAATGCAAAGCCAACAAGTGATGCTTGTAACAGACTCACTGCAGCCCTTCTCCATGCTTTCCTGATCGGCCCTGGATGCTTAGGTGGTGTTGCTTCTAACTTCCTATAACTTGAAATGTTGCAGTCATCATGCTGTGAATTATTTGTACATCTCCCTTGCCCATGACCGTAAACTGCTTTTTGTCATATCTTATTCATCTTTGTACCCTACAGTGGAAGTTGCCACATCTCTCTGGGTAGCTGCTGGATGAGGCAAGTGTGAGCCATGCCAGGCTGCCCACTGCTTAGCCATGGGCCTCCCAAGCACCCAGCCTTCCCAAGTGGCACCTCCTTTTCTGCTGCAAGACCCAGGGTCTAGCCCTGCTATCCTCTTTTTAGGGTTGTAATTGTTTATTCTGCTGTTGGAACATTGCTCCCCTTAGATTATCTTTAAAGTGATCCATAGCCACTTTTCGTTACCTACCAAGACAGGCCTGAAGGTGACTGTTAATTACTAGTGGGAACTATGCTGGGGCTCTTTCTTGAGATGGTAAGTAGAAAGTCCCATGAGTTTGGCTTATATATTTTTTGTGGGAATTAAATATTCCTTCATATTTCAGCTCTTTCTTGGTTTCTCCCATGCCCTGTTATTAAGTCCTTATTTCATGAGGTTACATAGGCTCTCTGGCTAAAGGGGAAAATAGGTATAATTAAGGCAGGCAAAATACTACAGAATAACAGTATTTATTGAGGGGGCTCAAATGAGGGGTTGCTAACCCAGAGTGGACAGAGGCTGCAGGGTGGGCAAGGTCTCCTGGGGAAAAAAAAACAACAATGGATTTCAGTCAAGAAAGGTACAAATACGTTATCTAGAATGAGTGGGGAGAGGTAGGGGTTGGAGAGAAATGAATTAAAGAGGCAGAGCTGGGGAGCAGAGGGGTTCTATTCAGAGGGAAAAGTATTGTCTAAAGCAGTGGTTCTCAAAGTGTAGTCCCGAGACTAACTGCATTGGCACCGTTTGGGAGCTTGTCAGAAATTTAGGTTTCAGGCCCCACCTGAGACCTACCAACTCAAAAACTCTTGAGGTGGGCTTAGTCTTCTAGGCGATGCTAGTGCTTAAGTGTGAGCACTACTGGTTAAAGGTATGGGGAGGTCAGAGTGGTGTATTCTGTGTACCTCATTCTCTAGAGCTGAAGGTAGGTGTTGGGTAGGGAGTGATGAGAAGAGGCAAGCTATTGCATAAAAAAGAGGGATAGGAGTAGTGCCTTTGTTAATTTATTAACATGCTAGTTGAACATGTATTTTATGAGATTAGAATGCAAAAATAAATAATTATAGTTTGAGATGATTGAAAATGAAAACACAACACATCAAAACTAATCAGATGCAGCTCAAGCAGTAGTTAGAGGAAATTTATAGCAGTAAACACCTGTATTAAAAAAGAAAGATCTCAAATCAACGACCTAACTTTCTATCTTAAGACATTGGAAGAAGAGAAAACTAAACTTAAAGCAAACACAAGGAAAGAAATAAAGATTAGAGAGGAAATTAATGAAACAGAGACCGGAAAACAATATAGAAAATCTACAAAATCAAAATTAGTTCTATAAAAAGATCAACAAAATTGACAAACCTAACTAAACTGACCAAGGGGGGGGGGGGATTACTAAAATTAGAAATGAAAAAGGGGATAGTACTGTGGACCTTACAGAAATAAAAGGATTATAATGGAATACTATGAACAGGGTGGATTAGTCAGCTCAGGCTGCCATAGCAAAACACCACAGATTGGGTGACTTAAACAACAGATACTTATTTCTCACACTCTGGAGGCTGGCAGTCCAAATCAAGGTGCTAGCAGGTTTGGTTTCTCTTGAGGCCTCTCTCCTTGGCTTGTAGATAGTCATCTTCTATGTCCCTACATTGTTTTCCTCTGTCCATGGGCATCCTTAGTGACTCTCTATGTGTCTTAATCTCATATATACTAATAAAAGAATAATATGCTAATTAGACCGAGAGATCTTCTGGATGTCCTTCTGGACAAAGCCATGGTGGCAGGGCCAAGGAAGAGGCAGTTATGGGCAATCAGCCCATGAGGGAGGGCAGTTGGGGGTAAGCATGCCAGTAGAGGGGGAAGTTAGGGCAAGCAGGCCAGTAGTGGGGGGCAGTTGGGGGCAAACAGGCTGGCAGGGGGACTATTGGGAGTGATCAGGCTGGTGGGGGGAATTTGGGGGTGATCAGGCCAGCAAGGGGACAGTTGGGGGTGAGAAGGCCCGGGGGGGTGTGGGGGAACAATTGGAGGTGAGCAGGCCAGCGTGCAGAGTGGTTAGGGGTGATCAGGCAGGCAGGTGAGCAGGTAGGAGCCAGTGGTCCTGGATTGAGAGAGGAATGTCCAACTGCTGGTTTAGGCTAAGGTGACCAGACGTCCTGCTTTTGGTGGGAAAGTCCCGATTTTTTAACAATTTGTCCCATGTCCAGTGGCATTTAAAAAAAAGTCCTGATTTTTGGAAAGATTCTTTTAAATCTTTTGGACTTTTTTAAAAAAATGCTGTGAGACGTGGGACAAATTGTTAAAAATCGGGACTGTCCTGTCAAAAGTGGGACATCTGGTCACCTTAGTTTAGGCCCAATCCCACCTAAACCGGCAGTCGGACATCCCCCAAGGGTTCTAGATTGGAAAGGGTGCAGGCCAGGCTGAGGGACCCCCCCCACCTGTGCACGAACTTCATGCACCAGGCCACTAGTCTTTTTATAATAAAGACTCCAGTCAGGTTGATTTGGACCCATCCCAATGGTCTCACGTCTATAAAGGCTCTATCTCCAGATAAAGTCATATGCTGAGGTACTAGGGGTTAGGGCTTCAACATTTGAATTTGGGGATAAGGTGGGGAAGGGACACAATTCAGTCCATAACAAATTGTATGCCAACAAATTAGATAACATGGATGTTGAGGAGAGATTCTTAAAAAGGCATAACCTACAAACTATCAAAACTGACTTAAAAACAGAAAATCTGAATAGATCTCTAATAAATGAAGATATTGAAGTAGTAATTAAAAAACTTAACATAGGAAAGCCCAGGCCCAGATGTCTTCATAGGTGAATTTGACCCAACATTGACAGATTCTTCATAAATTCTTCCGAAAAGTAGAAAAGGAGAGAATATTTCTCAACTCATTCTAGTATTGCCTTTACATTGATCACAAGAAAAAGGACGCTTATGAACACAGACACAAAAATCCTCAACAAAATACTAGAAAACCAAATCTAGCATCATATAAAAAAGATTATACACCATGAGCAAGTGGGATTTATCCCAGGAATGCATGGTTGGTATAACACTTGAAAATCAACATACTTCCCCATTTTAATGGAATTAAGAAAAAAAGCCCGCATAATTATTGCAATAGATGCAGAAAAAGTATTTGATAAAATCCAACACCCTTTCATTAAAAATAGAAGGTAATATCCTTGACCTGATAAAGGTCCTCTACACAAATCTACACTAACATCACCTTTAATTGTGCAAGACAAAGCTTTCACTCAAAGATCAGGAACAAAGCTTATATGTTTGCTCTCATCGCTTCTGTTCAATATTGTGCAATTGAAATATTGTGCTCTTTCAAGCCAGGTCAACTAGGCAAGAAAAAGAAATAAAAGTATTCAGATTAGAAAGAAAGAAAAGAAAGAAGCAAAGCTATTTCTATTTGCAGATGACATGGTTTTGTGTGTGGAAAATCCTGAGGAATCCATTAAAATTGAGCCACTAAAACCTGTTCCCTACTTTCAAGGCACTTCCAAGCAAGAAGAGGGACAGTGTAAATGAGTGTATATGTGTGTGGGTATTGTGGGAAAAGTGTTTCCCAGAAAAGGACATGCTTCAACTGAGTTATGTAAAGTATGTCGGTATCTAAATGGGAGATTGCAGGATGGATGATTGGGATGGGTGTCAAAGGTGGGCATTTCAAGCATAGAAGAATATATGCAAAGAGACTCAGTGTGATGAAGCAGGGTCAATAAGAGCTATGAGAGTGGCTGGGGAGTGGGATTTATGAGGTAGTGTGGGAGATAAGTCAAGGAGGTGAACAAGGCCCTTGTATGCCACCAAAGGCCAATTACATGATCGTGTGCAGTGTCTGTCTGGGTTTCGTCAAGGGTCCCTGGACTTGTACTTGTGTTCATCTCACCTGAATAGAAGTGGTGTGATCTCAGCACTAGGCCTGTCTCCTTTCCAGGTTTCTGGGTAGAGCGCACCCCTGTGCATGAGGCTGCCCATCGTGGTGAGGCCTTGGAACTGCAACAGCTGATCGAGAATGGTGCCTGTGTCAACCAGGTCACAGTGGACTCCATCACACCCCTGCACACAGCCAGTCTTCAGGGCCAGGCACAGTGTGTGCAGCTGCTGCTGGCTGCTGGGGCCCAGGTGAGTGGTCCTTCAGGACATCCGTGGAGCGTGGCTGTGGCTGTGGGCACAGATGGGACCAGTTCAAGGGATGCATAGAAAGAGGAAAATATAGGATTTGGGATTTGCATTCTGTGATTTGCAAATGTACTAGAAGTAAAGAAACCATTGCAGAAGACTGAGCAGGAAAGGAAGGAGGAAACCAGCATGGGGTGTGGTGGGAGCCCACGGAGGGGAAAGGGGGATGCTGGCACACTGTTCCCTGGGAAAAAGGAAAAAAGAAAAACAAAAAACAAGACTCTGATCTGATTTGCTCTAATCCCTGGTGTAAGCACTCATGCCACACTGATTTCAGCCTCCAGTGCTTTCTGGCTGGCGGAATTGCTGGATGTTTCGTAGTGGCTGGGTGAGCTGGGCCGGACACCATTGGGCGGGATGGTGTTGGGGTTCAGAGTGAGGCTGAAGTGAAGATCGTGCACTGCTTACTCTTTCTCAAAGCTTGGCATTGAAAGCAGATCAAGAGGAAGTGGAATAAGCTTCAGCATGCATCCAAAGGGCAGCTAAAATGAATAAACAGAATCTGCCCGTTGGGAGCTGCCTTTTTCCTGCCCTATGATTTTCCAACCAGAAGAGGCATGCTAAGCAGTTTCAGGCACTCCTAACTGAGGCTGGAATTAAATCCCCTTTTTATGCCCTGCCTGCTTCAGCTGGAACCTGGAGCTCTCCTTGCTGGTTCTGTGCTATTAGGTGCTGGGGTGGTGGCAAGAGGGAGTCTGAGTTGATTCTGCCCAAGAAAGAAAAGAGCCCGAGGCTTAGGAGGTTAGTAGGCAGTCCCAGCCCTAGTTCTTTTAATCCATAACCAGCTCCCCCGCCCGGCATGGGACCTTAGCACATACTAGAAATCCCAAGAACTTTTTAGAAAAACTAAGAAGTGTCTTTGCCCAGATGAGTGTGCATCAAGATGAGAAAGCGCATTTCCTTCTTGGTCCTGTAACACTTATTTCTCCCTCCCCACAAGGTGGATGCTCGGAACATCGATGGTAGTACCCCCCTCTGCGATGCTTGTGCCTCTGGCAGCATCGAGTGCGTGAAGCTATTGCTCTCCTATGGGGCCAAGGTCAACCCGCCCCTATATACAGCCTCCCCGCTGCACGAGGCCTGCATGAGCGGTAAGTCAGGTGGAAGGGAGCTACATGAATAGGAAGTGGGAGCCACTGGCTGGTCCAGGAGAGCTGCTGGTATCTGGCTATTGGTTGTTCCACCAAAGAAATGCTCATCTTTCCTCCTGGAGATATAGGCCTCACCCAGGACCGAGGGGCTGTTGTTTCCACGATAGGATTCTATTTCTTAGCAGATGCTCAGTGCCTCTCAGACACTAACACCGGAGATGGGTCTACTCTGCAGTCTTTCTCTCAGTCTCAGCGGTCATTTTGCCTTGTAAGCACCTGATCTAGTTAGGAGATGAGACCCAGACGACGTCTCTGCAGGCTCAGGGAACAGGTGGGAATTCAACTGCCCTCCAAAAATAGATGGACTTCAGATGGTGGGAGGATAAGAGGAAGGTTGTGCACAGGAAAAATGACATCAAGTCCTATTAGAAACTCCCAATAGACAAGCAACAACAGATAAGATTGGAAATTTAGGGCAAGACCAGCTAGTGGAAATTTTTTAAAAAAATATATATTTTATTGATTTTTCACAGAGATGAAGAGAGAGGGACAGAAAGTTAGAAACATCGATGAGAGAGAATCATCAATCAGCTGCCTCTTGCACACCCCCTACTGGGGAAGTGCCCGCAACCAAGGTACATGCCCTTGCCCGGAATCGAACCCGGGACCTTTCAGTCCACAGGCCGACGCTCTATCCACTGAGCCAAACCGGTCCCGGCATAGTGAAAAATTTTTAAACGACAGACTAAGGATTTTGGATTCCACTCTTGAGCAAAGGTTGCAAACTTGTAGCCTACTAGTATATTTTGATTGACCAGTACAGTGTGTGCCTTTGTTGTATTCATTGGGGTGTGCAGTGTGCCCTCCTCTGTGTCTTCATGCAGGACACTGTTCTCTGCTGCCTTACAACCCATAGCTAGGTCCCCTTTTATCATTCTCAGGCACTGGGGATTGCTATAGGCAGCACTTGAAGGTTTCTGAGTAGATGTTGAATGACTGCAAAATAGCATTTTTGAAAGGTTAGTTTACATTTATATACAGTGTAGGGGAGGAAAAACTTTTCCTTTACCTATCTTAGATTCACTGGCTGATGACAGAGAACCGATTAACAAGAGAAAACAGAAGTTTGCTAATTTGTGTATTGCATCGTGGATAGGCACGGGAGAACTCAGCAAGGTGTCAGGCAAAGGGGTGGTTAGAGCTTGGGCTCATATAGAACAAGAGGCCCTTTGCACGACATTTGTGCATTGGGTGGGGAGTTTGTCCCTCAGCCTGGCCTGCATCCTCTCACAGTCCAGGACTCCGTGGGGGATTTCTGCCTGCCGGCTTAGGCCTCCTCCTCAGACACCCCCTGAGGGGTCCTTAGTGCTACTGCGGAGGCGGGAGAGGCTCCCTCTACCACCACTGTGCTTGACAACTGTGAGCCTGGCTTCTGGCTGAGCAGTGCTCCCTCTATGGGAGCACACTGACCACCTGGAGACAGCTCCTGTGTTGAACATCTGCCCCCTGTTGGTCAGTGCACATCATAGCGACCGGTTGTTCCACCGTTCTGTCGTTTTGTAGATTAGGTTTTTATTATATAGGATAAATTTTTAGGAAAATGACAAGACATAAGAAAAGGACTTTGAGCTTCTAGGTTGGCAAGTTGTGGGGAGGCAAATTAGTAGAACCAATGGTAGATGGGGCTAGTTTTAGCAACTCCAACTAGCGTTGTCTCTATCCTTCCTGGTAGAGAGGGGAGGGGGACAAATATATATCCTTCTTTTAGGCAATTTGGGGGAGGGCACAGAGCTTTTCTTCTATTTGTTTCTTCTTGATTGTCATAAGCTCTCGATTGTCATTATGTCAAAGGCATATTTTGGGGTACCTTCCAACAGACTGAAATGGTGGTGGTGGTAAGGGATATCCTGGAAGTGAAGAGATGAGTTGGGAGCCATCACAGTGATCCAAGTGCAAAACTCTTAGAGTCCAAGTGGATGAATTCATTCAGAAAACATAGAAAAATTAATGCGCTTGATAAAGGGAGAGGAAACCATGCAGTCATAACCTACTCAAAGTTGAGTAGGGAGTGAGGTCAATGGCTGTGACAGAATGTCCAGGAGGATGTGCCCATAGGGAGGGGTGAGAGAAGGCCTGGTAGTGATAAGACATCCAAACAAAAATGGCCAGCAGACAGCTGTAGAGGAGGGGCTAGGTTTTAGGACTAGAAGTGGAAATTCGGTAGCTACTAACAGGAGATGTGATCAAGAGTTGTGAGAGGATGAAATCTTGTACGTGATGAACCTTGATCCTAACCCATGTTAAAGGTACCTGGAGAGGAGCCAAGGAAAGAGGCAGGAAAGGTGTCTGTGAGCTGGGAACCCCTGGTAAGAAAGTTAAGGTAGTTCACTGAGAAGGCTTGGATTGTGGATGCCAGCAACTTTATGTCAACAGCTTGAGAGGCAGCCCCGAAAGGGAGCACCTTCTCTCCCACTGAGGAACTGGGGAGCAGGGAAGAGAGTCTTCTCTGTCTGTTCTGAAGTGGTATTTCCAAACTTTCTGTTTTCCCAGCAACAGGGCCATTTGTGCACTCCATTTCTGCGGCTGCCAGGGAGGTTTGGGGAACTGTTGTGCCCTCAAGAGAAAGGACAACTATCCACTTGCTCTATGGCCACATGGGTCATGAACTGCCCTTAGCTTGTGATGTAAACTTGATTATCCTCTCTGCCCCTGCAAGCATGGGACCTACCTGTTCTAGCCATCAGTTCTGTCATGCTTATTATTTCTAATGTATATATCAGTGATATTCAACAAGTGTGCTCCAAGAATTTTTAAAACATGCAATACCTGACTATTAGTCAAGGACCAGACAATAGCCAGCACAACAATAGTCATCTGGAGTCAATGCCCTGTCATGGAAATATATAGGTCATAGGATAGACTTGTGTTTTACTGGTCACATCACATAATAAGGTTGTGTCTGATCGGTTAATTCTTGATACCAGAAATCGTTATACACGTGCAGGTGTCTGCTTTTTTAAAAATATTATTGATTTTTCACAGAGAGGAAGGGTGAGGGATATAGAGCTAGAAACATCGATGAGAGAGATACATTGACCAGCTGTCTCCTGCACACCCCCACCAGGGATGTGCCTGCAACCAAGGTACATGCCCCTGACCGGAATCGAACCTAGGACCCTTCTGTCTGCAGACCAACACTATCCATTGAGCCAAATCAGTTTCGGCGGTCTGCTTTTTTTTTTCTTTTTTTTAAAAGTCACTTTGCTCTGGCCGAATGGCTCAGTTGGTTGCAGCTCTGTCCTGCACATAAAAAAGGTTGAGGGTTTGATCCCTCGTCAGAGCACATATGGAAGGTGGTTGGTTGATATTTCTTTCTCACATCAATATTTCTGTCTGTCTCTCCTTTCCTCTCTTAAAAAAAAATCAATAAAAACATATCCTTGGGTGAGGATTTTTTTTAAAAAAAGGTCATTTTGGAGCAAAAACTAGGTAATTACTATTATATATTTTTGTAAATCAGTAAAAATTATACCTATTTTTTGGCAGATTGGCAAAAATATAATTTATTTTTTGTTATGCTCCAGAATTTTCGTTATTAGTTTATGTGTGCCATGAGATGAAAATGGCTAAAAATTGCTGGCATATATTTATTGACAGTTTTAATTGTTTTTTATTTCTCTTAAGGAAGTTCCGAATGTGTGAGGCTTCTAATTGATGTTGGGGCCAATTTAGAAGCACACGATTGCCATTTTGGGACACCTCTGCACGTTGCTTGTGCCCGGGAGCATCTGGACTGTGTCAAAGTGCTGCTCAATGCAGGTGCGTTGGTGTTTCTACCTGCTCTGCTCAGTGCAGGTGCGTCACTGTTTATATCTGCACTGCTCGAAGCTGGTGCTTTGGTATTTACCTAAGCTGCTCCATGCAGGTTTGTGTGTTTATGTGCACAGTGTGCCAGCTGAGAGCTGAATGGTGGAGTCAGCTAAGGTTTGAAACGAGCTCTCTCATTGGCCAGGTGAGAACTTTGGCCTCAGTTCTAGATTTATAAAACCTACTTTGTGGGCTTCTTGGGATGATTTGTTTCCACAATACCTGGTGCATTGTAATGCTCAACAAATGCTAATAATTCTTTTTAGTGGCTACAAGGAACCACCCACAAGACCTGTCTAATCAGGTTGCTGTCTAAACCAAAAAGAGAAAGGGTTCCAATGGAAAATGGGGTTGGCAGCTTTTGGAATCCAGGTTATTGTCAGACATTCTAAAAATACTCAGGATACTCTGGTAAACATGGTACAATAGGTAAATACTGTACTCAGCTCCTCCAATGACCACCTCAAAATCACAACCAAATTATGGAACCCATCATCATTGAGAGCTCCCTGTAGACTAGATGAACAGAAGTCCTATAATTAAGGATGTACAGAAGAAGCTACATCAAAACTGATAGTGTTGTAGGTGGCAGAAAGGGTACCTGGTGTTAGACCAGTGGGGTCAGACCAGACCTGGGTTCAGCAACCTCAGTAGTGCCTGAGGTGTGACCAGGAAAGAATTCAGAGCCAAGACTCAAACTATAAGAGAACATCTATATATATAAAAGCCTAATATGCAAATTTTCCCTTTGGGAGTTTGACTGGAAGACCAGGAGTTCTATTGCTCGCTATGACATTCACTGACCACCAAAGGGAAGCATGGAATGAAGGAAGGCCCTGACTGAGAGCCAGCACCTGGGGAAGGGAGGCCCTGGTCAGCAACCAGAAGGCTGTGATCATCAGCCAGGCGTAGGGACCCTACCCGTGCATGAATTTTCTGCACCAGGCCTCTAGTTTATTTATAAAATCACAGAGGTAGAAGAAGTAGTCCGTAGAAGAAATGGACTGAGGAAAGAAGTTATAGAGGCAAAGGAATGGTCCTAGGAGCTTGGGAGTGAGGAAGGCAATGGTAACGTGCTTGGGGGGAAAGGGAGAGAGAAGGTAAGGGAAAGGCACAGGCATTCTCCCAAAAGGGAGGGTATGTTGGGTCCTCTGTCCTAAGGGTTTTAAAAGTGGAGATTTTAGGGAAGGTCCCAGGGGAAGATCTGAATAAAATATTCAGCAGCTTTCCAGGTATGTCATTTTAGGGTCTCCACTGATTGATTGATTGGTGTCAAGGCAGGGAATCATTATCCAATGCAGCTGATCCTGAGATCAGCTGTGGGGTCACTTATCTGGTTTTGCTGATTCTGGGCCTGGAGCTAAAATACAACTGAGGCATAGATGCTATCTCTAGGGAGGAAAGATCAGAGGGTCCAAACCGCGTAACCAGTGAGACTTATTAACTTTAACGTGCCACTTTTAAGTCTTTTCAGTGAAAAAGATTCATTTTGTTTAAGGCTGGTCATGGTGGCAGTTTTTACTGTTTATACAATGATAAAATATTTAGATTAGAAACAGTCATAAGTCTTTCAGCCAATTCATTGATCAAATAGATGGTTGGATCCCACTTCTATCAGTCTAGGGCAGTGGTTGGCAAACCCATATGTCAATAGAGTCAAATATCAACAGCACAACGATTGAAATTTCTTTTGAGAGCCAATTTTTTTAAAACTTAATCTTCTTCTAATGCCACTTCTTCAAAATAGACTCACACAGGCTGTGATATTTTGTGGAAGAGCCACATTCAAGGGGCCAAAGAACTGCATGTGGCTTGCGAGCCACAGTTTGCTGACCACGGGTCTAGGGTATCTATCTATCATTACTGTTGAGATTGTAAAATAAAAATTTTACAGTGCAACCATCCTCAGCTTTTAAAATAAAGGTTTGATGGTTCACCAACCCTCTGCAATTCCATTTTGCTTTGCAATCAGGATTTTGATAATGAGCAGAGTGCCTGGTATATATGTGCTCAGGACACCTTCATTCATGTTTTTAGTTCCTTTTGTACCAGAAAGAAGAAAGAGAGCAAGAGATTTAAAACCTATTTGAAGTAGTGGCTATAGGAGAAAAGATCATATTAGTAATTCTAATCCAACATCCTCTCTGCAATAGTTAGGATTTTAGAATAAAGTTATTTCTCCTTCATAACTAATAGGAGACCAATTCCATCTGGATGAGGGGCTTTATTTCTTGGTTCGAGTAACTGAGAGAATCAGAACTAGAGTCAGTTTTGGGGTCAGTTTGACGTAAGGGCTCAAGCATGCCATCAATTTTCTTTGAATTTTATAATTCTGCTTTCCTCAGTGTTCAATTGACCATACTTTTGGTGTCCCCAGTGGGATAGGATGGAAACAGCACATTTGGGCTGAAATCTGAATGCTTCACTTCATGAGGCTTCTGATAGCTTTGTCAGAGGAGTGAAAACTCTCCCTTATGTTTCATCAACCTGAGTTGAGTCCAGTGTCCAAACCTTTTCCAGTCCCTTTGGTTTGACTCTGCAAATTCCAATTGACTGGATCTAGGTGGGGACAAGGATGAACCCAATCAGGGTCCACAGGGAGCTGGAGGTTAGGTCATCCTGCTCACTCCCACCCCAGGACTGCCCTCTCACTGAAGGGTGGCAGTTCAGTGAGGTGGGTTGGAAAGGAATGGGAAGGGGGCCATAATGGCCTGAAGCAAGGGACTTGGTAACTTTTAAAGGGAGTTTCCATACACCTGAGAACTTGAGTAAGGGATGAACAGAATTTTCCTGGGACGGCTTGCAGTTGTTGACTACCACTGTGCTGTCAGCTCTAGACTCAGTCCTTGCTATTCTCATCTCAGAGGCTTTCCTGTACATCCTTCTAGACCACATGCAGTCTTTTACTTATTTAACAAAACTATTATTTAACTACTAGAGGCCTGGTGCACATTGAAAGGAAAGTAATTAGAAAAAATAGTTTAATACCGCTATTTGTCTTTCTCTATAGAATTGTCAAGCAAATTTACGATCAACAATGACAGATCAAAACACATGTGTGTGATTGGCACAGCAAGAGCTTGATATCTATATTATAAAAAGCCAGTGGCTGTAACACCATAATGCCGAATGACCAAACAGCCGGTCACCAGGAGATGCATTGATGGCTCCGATGGCAGTGGCGGGACTCTGGGTCCCACAGCTGTGGTGGGAGGGACTCTGGGTCCCGTAGCAGTGGCGTGACTCTGGGTCTCATGCCGATTTCGCGTGTTGGGCCTCTAGTATATAGGTAAACTTGCTTAATGAGACCTGCTTTCTGATTTAGCTAAACTTTTTCCAGCCCAGTGAAGCACCCCAACTTCTCTTTCAGGTACTTTTCAGGAATACAACAGTAAATATCAACACGAAGCAGATTATTGTAGATCATTCAGGGAGAATAAAGGGTGAAATATTTACCTGTAGCTGTGTTTGACTATATTCTGCACAATGAGAAAACCTGAAGTAATTTTCATGGTCCACCATTTCTTTTTTTCAGTTGGGTCAGGTTTCTAAACTTTCTACACCTCCATTTTCTGGCTAATGAAAAGAAAATAGGATTCTACAAAGTCTCCTATCTACCTGTGAAAGGCCACCGCCAGCCAGGCTTTCGGTTCAAAGGCTTGGAGAAATACATACAAATGATATACACAAGACAAGATTAATTTTGACTAATATGGGGGGGAGCCAGGGCAAACTTGACTAGGGCAGTCAAGTTCCACTGAGTCTTCTTTACCCAGCTGCTTTTATTTACTAGAATACACAATTGCCTTTTAGGAATGCAAATAGACATATCAATGTTTATAGTAAACAGTAAGATTATCAGGTTGTGGGGGTGTTTGCTTTAGGCCATTGAGTCAGCAGCAGGTCATAAAATGAAAATTCACCCTGTGAATTTCAAAGGGGAGTCCAAATCCAGCCTTCTGGTTGACTCTTCACATTTATATTAATTATTGTTGATCTTGGTTTCCAGCATCTACCTACTCTAGGACTTCTGTGAGGATCAAATGAGATGAGGACCGTGAAAATGCTTCACAGACATTTGGTTAAGGTGTAAAATGTTTGCTCCTGGCTATAAAGCAAATTGTGTTTCTGGGCTGAAGAAGCTCCAAGGAGGCTAGTCACTAGGGAGAGGAAGCTGGGCGTTGCTACCTGTGTTTCCCAGAAAATAAGACATCCCCTGAAAATAAGATCTAGCGCATCTTTGGAAGCAAAAATTAATATAAGACACTGTCTTATTTTTGGGGAAACAGGGTACATGATATTATTACCTGGCGCCCACAGCCACCATTTCTGGGCTGGGCTGGGCTGTGGACTACATTTTGTGCCATGGGGTCTTGGAAGTGTTTGCTATGAATTGATGGGCTGTCGCTCTGGGGTGGTGGCAGGTCCTGTGTCCCACTTTGGGGAAGCTGAGTGTTGCTTTGTTAGTGCCCGGTCTGCAATACCATTTCTTTGTAAATGGCCAGTGCATTTCATGGCAGCTCCTGTGTCTAGTGTCTGCCTCCTGGTAATCAGTGCACATCATAGCATCTGGTCGGACAGTTGGAGGGACACTTAGCATATAAATATAGATGGGAAATCTCACACATACAAAAAAGTAGACAGAAGGGAACACCATATGGATTCTTTTCAAGATAGTGATTCTTTGTGGGAGGCTGATCACAGACTCCTTGGAAAATAAAATTATTTTCTGATCATCCCTCTAGAAAAATAAACATTTGGGCACTTTTGCACTGGCTGTCAGAAAGGGTCTGGCCCAGCTTGAGGAGCTGAGCTGTGAGGGGCAATGTGTGCCTCAGGGGTGTATAGGAGGCTGTCGATCATTTGTGGGCAGTGAAGCCTTATTGATGAGCTGCAGATAATTTTTGCAGAGGAGGAGGGCTGGGGAAGGGAAAAGTCCAGTTATTACTGTGGGTAATTTTTAATCGGACAGCTGGCAGTAAATATTTAACTCTGCTGGAGGTACTGAGAGGAGCTAATTGAGCAGAGTTTGCTTGTATCTTCCCAGCACAGGACTTGTCACATGTTTCTCAGGTAATGTTTCAGCCAGCATAGCACTGAGCCATGTGTGCCTGCTCTGCCCAGGAACTGTGTCAGGTTCTCGGTGTGCTAAGCTGGTGACAGCCCCTTGTCTTTGCTGGCTAAGGTTTTACTCAGCCCACTGCAATCCCATTTTGCTTTGCAATCAGAATTTTGTTAATGAGCAGACTTTGATCCATTTCTCTGAAGCATGAAGTTGGCATTAGCTGTTTTCCTCTCTCTGCCCTCAGTTCATGATGGTCATTAGTCCCCACAAAGCCACTCTTCCCTTCCTCAGACCCCTCCTCCCATGCTTCTCCCTTGCTTATTTCCTCTGGTCTCCCATCCCACCATTCTAATGTATTCTATCTATATGTGTTTTTTTAATTTTTATCTAGATATGTTTTGTGAGATACACACAATTGAGTGAAGCATGTATTTTTAATAGACATAAATGCTATTGTGTTATATTTCCTTTTTTTTTTTTTTTTTTTTTTTTTTTTTTTTTTTTTACTCAGGCATGTTTTCAAGACCCACCCATATTGCCCTGTGTACCTCTGATCTGCTGTTTCCAGCTGCTGCAGAGTATGACAGCTTCCCTCTTAGTCACAGTCCTTTCTTTATATCCAGTCAAATGTTGCCAAAGCACATTTTAAAGAGATCCTGTTTTGTACCTTGGGATGGCGACCTGCTTTCACCAGTCATGCCCTTCCCCTTCCTCTCTGACAGCTGTCAGTCTGTTCCAAATATCCATGACTCTTTTTATTTAGTTTTTCAGTTTTCTTAGTTAATTAGATTCTACATATAAATAAGATCATATGGTATTTGTCTTTTTATGACTGGTTTATTTCTCTTAGATAATAACCTCCAATATTTCTTTCTTTTTTATGGCTGAGTAGTATTCCATTGTGAAAATGTACCACAACTTTTTATCCTCTCATCTATTGATAGGCACTTGGGCCATTTCCAGATTTTAGTTATTGTAAATAACACTGCAATGAACATTGGGTACATATAGACTTTTGAATTAGTGTTTTGAGTTTTCTTCAGATATATCCCCAGAAGTGGAATCGCTGGGCAGTTCCATTTTTAATTTTTTTGAGATAACTCCATACTGCTTCTCACAGTGGCTGCACCAATCTGCATTCCCACCAACAGTGCACAAGAGTTCCTTTTCTCCACATCCTCACCAACATCTGTTCTTTGTTGAGTTATTGATGATAGCCATTCTGACAGGTGTGAGGTGATATATCTCATTGTGGTTTTAATTTTCATTTCTCTGATGATTAGTGACATTGAGCACCTATTCATATATGTCTATTGGACATCTGTATGTCCTCTTTGGAGAAGTGTCTGTTTAGGTCCTCTGCCCATATTTTAATTTGATTGATTGTTTTTTTTTGTGTTGAGTTGTACAAGTTCTTTATAAAATTTGGATATTAACCCCTTATAAGATATCTCATTAATGAATATGTTCTCCCATTCAGTGGGTTGTCTTTTCATTTTGTTGATGGCTTTTTTTGCTGTGCAAAAAATTTTTAGTTTGATGTAGTCTTTTTTATTTATTTTTTTTCTTTTGTTTCCTGTGGATACATATAAAAATATATCTAAAAATATATTGCTACAAAAATGTCTGAGATTTTACTGCCTATGCTTTCTTCCAAGATTTTTATAGTTTTGAGTATAACATTTAAATTTTGAATCCATTTTTGAATTTATTTGTGGGAATAGCGTAAGAAGGCCATGTAGTTTTACCTTTTTGCAAGTTTCTGTCCAGTTTTCCCAAAACCATTGAATAGACTACTTTTACCCCATTGTATGTTCTTACCTCCTCTGTCAAATATTAATTGACCATAAAGCCTTGGGTTTATTTCTGGGCTCTCTATTCTGTTCCATTGACTTATATGTCTATTTTTATACCACTAACATGCTGTTTTGACTACTATAGCCATGTAGTGTAGTTTAATATTAGGTAGCGTGATTCCTTTGACTTTGTTTTTCTTTCTTAAGATCACTGTTCCTATTTGGGGTCTTTGGTGGGTCCATACAAGTTTTTGAAATAGTTTTTCTGGTTCTGTGAAATACTCCATTGATATCTTTTTAAGAAAAATATATATATATTTTATTGATTTTTACACAGAGAGGAATTGAGAGGGAAAGAGAATTAGAAACGTCGATGAGAGAGAAACATCGACCAGCTGCCTCTTGCACACCCCTACTGGGGATGTGCCCACAACCAAGGTACATGCCCTTGACCAGAATCGAACCTGAGACCTTTCAGTCTGCAGGCTGACGCTCTATCCACTGAGCCAAACTGATCTCGGCTCCATTGATATCTTGATGGGAATTACATTAAATCTGAGGATTGCTTTGGGAAGTATGGACATTTTAATAATGCTAATTCTTCCTATCTATTAACACTGTATATGCTTCCACTTATTTGTATCTTCTTTCATTCCTTTCTGCAGTGTCATATAATTTTCCAAGCACAGGTCTTTTATATCCTTGGTTAAATTTATTCCTAGGTATTTTATTTTTTTTGAAGCAATTATGAATAAGATTTTTTTTTTTTTTTTTTTTTTTTTTTTTTTTTTTTTTTTTAGTTTTCCTTTTTGATAGTTCATTTTTGGTCTATAAAAATAAAACTCAACTCATTTTTGGATATTTATTTTGTATCCTACTACTTTACTGTTCAGTAGTTTTTTTTTTTTTTTTTTTTGTAAAATCTTTAGGGTTATTTATATACAATCTCATGTCATCTGCAAATAATGACAATTTTCTTCTTCTTTTACAATTTAGATGCCTTTTTTTTTTTTCTTCTTGTCTTATCACTGTGACTAGGACTTCTAGTACTATGTTGAATAAGAGTGGTGAAAACAGACATCCCTGACTTGTTCCCGATTTCACTTGAATTCCAGCGTGTTTGGGGAACATCACCTGTTTTCCCTTTGAGCTTCCCTTTTGTAAAATAATATTTATATTTAAGGAACATTCATTCATTCATGCAATACACATTGTTAGAGCCTCTGTCCTGTGTCTGCAGTGTGTGTGTGTATGTGTGTGTGTGTGAATGCATGTGCATTGTCAGGCAGGAGAGCTTGAGTAGCTAAACCTGAGCTTCCAGTCAGGACCCATGGGGACAGACTGCATAGGGCATTAGAATTGTCTCATAACTCACAGGGAAGTTTTATTTACTCTTTCTTCATTTTGGTTCTTTTACATTATTATTGACTAGAGGCCCAGTGCATGAATTCGTGCACCAGTGGGGTCCCTGGACCTTGCCTGCAGGATTGGGTTGAAACCAGCTCTCTGACAGCCCCCAAGGGGTCCTGGATTGCAAGAGGGTGCAGGCCAGGCTGAGGGACCCTACTGGTGCATGATCAGAGCCGACAGGGACATGGGAGTTTAGCCAGCCGGGAAGAAACTGAGGGAGGGTTCCAGGGCATGTCCAGCCCATCTCGCTCAGTCCCAATCAGCCAGACCCCAGCAGCAAGCTAACCTACCAGTCAGAGTGTCTGCGCCCTGATGGGCAGTGCATGTTATAGTGAGAGGTTGAGCAGTTTTAGCATATCATAAGCATATTATGCTTTGACTGGTTGAATGGATGACCAGATGACCAAACATTAAGCATATTAGGCTTATATAGGATACCTTTCTTTAGCTTTTTATATCAAAAGAAAAAAAGTAATCATCGCTTTTGGATTTTTGAAAAAGATTTTGCAAAGGTTGCAGCAGAGTCTGTCTTGATTTTGTTTCCTCAATGAGGATTGTTTTTGTAAATTGTGCTGGATGAAAAAGTCAAGGCTGATGTTTATCTCGGCTCCAAGTTCTCTCCTTGGTCATATTTGTTTCTGTTTCACCTGCAGGGGCCAATGTGAATGCAGCAAAGCTTCATGAGACAGCCCTCCATCATGCGGCCAAGGTGAAGAATGTGGACCTCATTGAGATGCTGATTGAGTTTGGAGGCAACATCTATGCACGAGACAATCGGGGAAAGAAGCCCTCCGACTACACGTGGAGTAGCAGTGCCCCTGCCAAGTGCTTTGAGCACTATGAAAGTGAGGCCAGGCTCTCCTTGTTCTTTGGATGATGCAATGCATTGTAGAATGGCACATGAGACACTCGTGCATGAAGCTCTGCTCTGACAATATATTAGGTCATTTATGAGTAAATAAATAATCTCAGACTAAGTCCATATGAGGCTGAGAATAAAGATCCAACCCTCACTGTTCAGGAAGCAGAGTACAAACGATCTAGCTAAGGACAAGATGTCTTCTTTGTAAACAAATTTTTAAATGAGTTTACATAGACTTAGAGTCACAAGAGGCTTCAAACACCTATCAGTTGAAAAAAAATATTTATTTAAATTTTTGCCAGCCCTCCCCAATTCAAACCCCTTTATGAACTTAGAGGCACACTCCATCCATGTCTGACAGTTAACCATTTCCTGGGAGATAATGTTTCCTTTACAAATAATTTGGGGGACAAAGTAACACAGAAAAATGAATTTCACCAGTAATTCTTATTTTTCCTTTCGAAGATTGGTGTATTTCAAAATTTTTCATAAGTTGAGAAATTTATGAAATTTCTCTTTGGTTAATTTATATTTTTGTCAAACACAGATCATTCTAAAAGGCAGGTCCTTAAGGCAGGTCCTTAAGGGACATTTTGCAAATGTCCCTGTGATTCATCTGCCAGGGACCTGCAGGTATCGTCCATCGTTGGCCCTAGCTTGCTCGCATTCTGAGCCCCAGCTACAGGCTTGTCTGTAGTCCCGAGGTCTTGATCCTCTGCACTAGGATGTGCATTGTGTATTCTGTTGGAGATGGGATGTGCATCAGTTCTCCTGAGACCTGCTTATCCACACAGCCCTCAGTGGCCTGGAGCTGCAGGAGCAGGCAGCCTGGACTAACCCTTCTCCCTGTCCCTCATTTATTTGGAAGTTTGACAAACAAGCCTGCTAGCTGTAGACTGGTGCATTGCTGACAAACCCATGTGCTAGGGTTATAACATTATGGGGCAAAAGTCACACACACACACACACACACACACACACACACACACACACACACGTACACAAAGCAAAAACCTACACCCCCTCAATTCTCCTCCCCCCAAACCTTCCCCCACACACAAAATGAAATCTCTCTGGACATCACTGGAATTTTATTTCCTGCTCTTGTTGTCCTTGGCCCTGGCTGTCCTTCCTGGTAGCTTTCAAGAGAAGGCTTGTAAGGCATGTCCTATTTTTAGGGAAGGGAGGTGTTTCCAGTAATATAACACACACACACACACACACACACACACACACACACACATATATATATATATATATATATATATATATATATATATATATATATATTATATTTCTTGATTTCAGAGAGGAAGGGAGAAAGAGAAAGAGACAGAAACATCAATAATGAGAGAGGATCATTGACTGGCTGCTCCTGCATGCTCCCTACTGAGGACCAAGCCTGCAACCCAGACATGTACCCTTGGGCAGAATCAAACCTGGGACCCTTCAGACTGTAGGCTAATGTTCTACCCATTGAGCCAAGCTGGCTAGGACCAGTTCTTGATATTTTTAAAAAATATATTTTTATTGATTTCAGAGAGGAAGGAAGAGGGAGAGAAAAATAGAAACATCCATGATGAGAGAGAATCATTGATCGGCCTCCTGCACACTTCTTCTGGGGTTGGAGCCCACAAACCATGCATGTACCCTGACCAGGAATTGAACCGTGACCTGGTTTATGGATTGACTTTCAACCATTGAGTCACACTGGCTAGGCCAGTTCTTGATATTTTTTAGGTTGAAGGGTGTTAATCTATGTTCAGCTATGTTAAGCTAACCTCATGTGCTTCATGTTCCCTTTTTCCAGAGACACCACTAACCCTGTCACAGCTCTGCAGGGTGAGCTTGAGGAAGGCCACCGGGGTCCGAGGGCTGGAGAAAATTGCCAAGCTGAACATCCCTTCCCGGCTCATCGATTACCTTTCCTACAACTGAGCTGCAGGCATGGGAGGCAGAAGCAGGCTGGTGGCACCCTGGCTGCTGACCTTGCCCAGCCCAGTGTTGTTTGTCTGAAACCCTCAGTTGCTATAGACAGAACAACGATCCCTGAGTCCCCATTGACTGTTCTGTTTCATCTCTCCGTGGACTCCTGGAGAATATTTCCAAGACATTGGGAAGGCCCTGCCTCAGCTTCTGCTGGGGTTGTGGCTCTGTGCTGGCTCTGGGACTTTGCTCTTTCTCAGGGTCCAGCTGTCCTCTTTTCACTGACCTTCCCCAGAAGGACTCTCAGGAAAGACTGTTCTGGAAGCACAGGGGAAGGCCAAGTAAGGCTGGGGCCCAGGAAACTGCTGCTGATTTCCACATGTCTGGGAGGCCCAGGGGTGCGGTGCCATCTCGAATTCATTCAGCACTATGCAGCCCTGGGAGGTTCAAAAGGACAGCAGCCTGAGCCACAGGCAGTGGGCCTGTGGGAGGTGAGGTCCTGACCACGTGGTCTGGGATGGATGCATTAGTGACATCCTGCCACTTGGATGCTTTTTTTTTTTTTTTTTTTTTTTTTTTTCTGGAGCCAAGGGAGGGCACTTTCCAAGGCCCACCTCCACCCAGGTGTGCCCATTACTCAGGGACTTTGTATGGGTTTTAGGGGGAAGCTCAGGGTCTTTGTTCCCCACAACCAGCACAGTGTTTCACAGGGAGTTTTTCTTCAGTTTTAGGTCTCAATTGAAAACGTTTATGTGAGGGATAAATAAACTTTCAGAAGATATATAGGATGTACATAGATAATGTGAAGGGGTGTTAGCACACATGAGCAGTCATTTCCAATGTGAAAGATTGTTAGGAAATGCTTTGGAGATTATTTTTCATCATTTTATGGTTGCCACATGAATTCTTTCTTCCCTAAATTTTGTTAACTCCATGAATGTCTGAGCTTGGTAGAAGAGGTTGCCAGCATCCAGTGGATATTGTCAACCATCGATTTGTGCATTCTGTAGGTATCTGTGGAACATCTAATATGCTTAAGGCATTGTCTTGGTGCTTTGACCTGGATAGGAATCAGACTCATTATCATAAACCGGGGGGAAAAGAGTTTTGCCATCTATTCCTATAGCAATAGAATCAAGTAGTTCCACGTTATAAGTCATATGGTGAATTAGTAAGAATATTCAGACTGCAGTTGTCTGCATACAAACATAAAAACAAACAGAAAACCAGGGAGTGAAACTAGATTTTGCATAATTAGTTCAGGTATTTTTGGTTTCTGGGGAAACAGAGAAGGTACCTCTTGTGAACACCCCAGAAATGTGGACGTTGCCACATTCTCCCAGAGTGCAGAATAGGGTGAGCCTAAACTGTCATCCAAGTAATGCCAAGTGTGCTACACAGTCAGAAGCATCTGCACGGGGTTACCTGGATGGGGCCCCAGATCTGATGGAAAGTTTCATGCTTGTTGTACAGTTATTTTCCATCTCACTGTTCCAGCCATGGTTACATCATTCTATGCTGAGAGTAAGAGCCACTCTGATTTGGTTACAGTCTTAAAAACAAGTTCTGGGTAAAGCAGTGTCTCTGTCTGTACTAAGAACCATGGGGAGAAAAGCATTGGGTTCTGCCCTTTCATCTTTGTAACAGAAACCTGCCTCTAGCAATGAGCTGGTAACATTTCCATAAGCAGGTGCACAGAGCACAGAATTACAGCCCCACACTCGCTGCTCAATAAAGGTGTTGAATAGTCCATCATTGTGTTCATATGCTTTTTTCTTGTTGGGAGCAGAAACACTGAATGAGCTTCATCCTGTGTGCATCCAGGGGGGCCGCTGTCATGTTCCCCATACTTTGGAAGATCAAGTTATATATACTAGGTCTGTGCCTGTCTGATTCCCATCTTCCTGTCTCTCTCTTTGTCTCCTACGGCTATCTCAGTGCCACCATCATGTGGAGGAATACTGCCCAAGGGATCAGCTGACTAAGATTTTAGGCCTCCTCCCAGTCTGTACCCCACCCCTTAGCCCCAACTTTACTGAGCTGTAATGGACAAATAACCTGCCTGTACCCTTAAGTAGAGGTGTGACTCTGGACGAGTTTTGCCACTCCACTGCACTTGGACCTCCCAGCTGCAGAAGAGGGATAGAAGTTCAGACTTTGATCATTAAAAGGACGTTGATGATCAACTATTAAATCTTACAGATGAGAAACAAGGTCCTGCCAGCCTCATGGTTTTTTTGAGGCTGAAACTAGGTGATTAAAAGATGCTCTGAAAAGTATAAAGTACTTCCCAAATGTAAAAGTAGATGGCTATGACTGGACTATGGTCTTGTTGGGGTTTAGAGATCTTCTAACTATGTAATCAACTCCCTTCTGACTTTGGGATAGTGCCATCTACTTTAGGAAGAGTATATTTAAAAGACCTCTCAGTTTACATTTTTAAAACTCAATGTGAAGATTTCAAGAAGACATTTGCAGCACAGATAAATGATTGATAACCAAAATATATAAGGATCTATATCCTCTATAATCCTATATAATAAAGAGGAAATATGCAAATTGACTGTCACTCCAACACACAAGATGGCTGCCCCCATGTGGTCAAAGTTGGCTGCCACAAAATGGCCTGCAGGGGAGGGAAGTTGGGGGGAACCAGGCCTGTAGGGAAGGGCAGTTAGGGGCTATCGGCTTGGCAGGGGAGCAGTTAGGTGTCGATCAGGCTGGGAGGGGAGTGGTCAGGGGGTGATTAGGTTGGCAGGCAGAAGCAGTTAGGGGCAATCAGGCAGGCAAGCGGTCACTGACCCTTTGAGATCCTCCATGCTATAGTGGAAGCAGGAACAGGCTGACTTGAACTGTTCCCCACAGTGACCGCTAGCCATTCCACCAAGGCACCGGCAGTACCAGTTAATGTCTCCATTTGGCAGGATCCACCCATGCTCCTCGTATGGATCATTGGGATCATCAGCCACTAGCTCTGCATCGCTTGGAGTTTCATGATCTTCTTTGGTCACAAAAATGACTGAATCCTTCCCTTTTTGCCAGCAGTAAACCATGGGTGCAGCCTACACTCCTGTTTTGGTATTCTTTTTACAACAAAATTTTAATGTACAGAGGAGGGGTAAAGGGCAGAAATGTCTTTAAAAAGAGAGAAAGTTACCTGTGTGACCGTTGTAAATTGGATTCTGCTTAAGGATACCTTTCAGCTTTCTATTGGCTACAAAGTCATATTTTGGGTTAAAGGTTTTGTATTCCACAATAGGTGCTGATTTTTTTTTTTTAATTTTTTTTTACCAACCTCATTTTTAAAACGAGGAAACAGGTTGTATTTACCTTCTTAGATATGCTAGACGTCAGAAGCCTTGAATGTTCTCTGTGGCACACAGGGCCTGCTTGCATCTCAGGGAAATTTCAATAAATGTCAGGTGCAGTCTCTTTCCCCTCTCTCTGGCTAGTCTGTCCTGCTTGGCATGACTGACTCCTTAGCTGTTGTGAACCTTCTAAATGTGGCTTTGGGCCAAATCCTATCGCTTGGAGCAAGCATGTCAAACTCAAAGGCCAACAGAGCCAAATAAACAAGGTTTAAATTTATGTGGGCAGCAAAAAAAAACCCCAAAAGCTTCAATTTTCATAGAAACGTAGGTTATTTCGATAGAGACATGCTGAATACAAAGGGCTGAAATAAATGAGTAATCATTAACATAAAATAGAACATTTTAATAAAAATTAATATTTTTTTCTTGAACATTAACTTACTAGACTACACAAATTAATAAGCGTAGCTCAAATAAACCTATTTTCTTGTTCTCCGAAAGCAAAATATTTCCTGTAGTGCACACCAAACAAGTTAGTCCAAGACTAATGACATGGCTATTGGCTGCTAAAATATTTGCTGCTGGTATTAGTGGAGAAAAAGGTGTGCCTGCATATAAGGTATGTAAGGGAAATGAATGTAACATAATTACAGTAATCAGTCATTAGGGAACATTGTAGTTTGTTATTAATAATCATCATGTATAACAAAATATTGTAAAATTTACGTTACAAAATTTTTATTAAAACGTTTCTTACATACCATTAGATTGGCTGGGCCACAAAAATATTAGTTGTGGGCCACATGCGGCCCGTGGGCCAGGAGTTTGACATGCTTTCCTTGGAGAGATGGAAACCAGTTCCTCTAAACTGAGGAACCATTCACAGTAGGCAGATGCAGCCTGCTCTGGGCCCTGCCTGCCCTCTGCAGGTGGGGTGAGGGAGGAGTAGGGAGGAAGTGGATCACCCAGCAGCGCCTTCTCTCCTGTCATCCCTAAGGCCCCTTGGGTCCCCAGGGGAGGACGTGGAGTGTCAGCGAGGGAAAGGGCAGGGGGAGGACATGCAGTGTCCTCCCCCTGCCCTTTCCCTCGCTGACACTTTCACAGAAATGCCACATATCATAGCCCATACATACTGCCAGATGAGTCTGCACAAAACGTTGAAGTTGTTTGGGACAGAAAGAATGCTTTGCATGTCCTCCCTTGCTTTGTTAAAACTACTGGACATGCTTTCTTTCCAGGGGGCAGCACTCCTTACTTCTGAGCAGTTGAGTTTCTTTGTTTATAAAAATGACTCCCAAACTGGCTCTAAACACAAAGCCCACCAGCTCATTCATGTGATGGAAAGCTGTGCTGTCTTACAGACATATGTTGGGATGGGATCTTGAGGGTACATCAGGTTGGGAGGGTCTTCCCACCCTCTGGGCAGCATGTACTGTTCTCCTTATAATGGTCTGGAAAGTACTTCCAGATCCTGGAGTCTTTCTTTGCTTTTTTCTCTTTTCTTAGTATTGGTACCACATGGCATTGACAGCTGGGCCCCAGTTATGTTGTCATGAAAGTCCTGTGATCTTTTGCAATTTGAATGAAAATATGTCTTAAGTTGGTCCAATCTAAATAGGTACCTCCTAAAAGCCAAATGTCTTAAAACAATAAAGATTCATGACAGCTTGCTCTCTCTTACACACACACACACACACACACACACACACACACACACACACACATATTTATATAAAAGTATACTTTCCAGCAGCTGGTCTCCAGGTGTGCAGTTCTTATCAACCACAGACTTCAGAGCTGAAAGAGAATTTGCAACTGAACTCTGAGCCAGAATGTAGAATTAGTTTAGCTCTCTGTTTTCTGTTACCAACAAGAAAACTCCCATTACTTCTTGGTGTTAATTTGAATCCTGAGGCTCATTCTGCTGTTAGAGACAGAAGTTTAGATGAGACAAGAAGTAAGAACATCCACTCATTCCTTGGGCCCCTTTCTCCATCCATCGACTTATTGATCCATTCATCCATCCATCTACCCACCCATCTATTCATCCATCTATATTTTCTTTCTTGTTGTTCATTTTTAAGCAGTAATTCTATTTTAGGTACTCTGCTGGGCGCTAAGGATAAAAAAAAAATAAATCAAAATGAAACAAACAAACAAACATAAACACAAATTTTGGCACTGAAGGACCTTATTGTTTCTCAGGAAGCAGACACAGGAACAAGTGCTGTATCTAGAAATGTAGCAACAAACAGGAAGGAAGAGCTAACTCTGCTTTTGGGAGAGAAGAACAGAGAGATGACCTTGACTCTCTCAAATCTTGGGATAATAAATTCAATTGCATAAAAAACACCCTGTATTTTTAAGTTGACAGTGCTGTGTAGTTTACCAAGCTTTGTAAGTGAAATAGTAGGCAGTTATAGACATGAGCAGAGTAGAAACAAGAGACCAGGTAGGCAAGGTCACCAGGGCAAAAGCCCTGGGTGCCTACCTATGGGCAACATTGGGAAGGTGAGTATTGAAAGGTGGGACCTCATCCCCAGGGTGACCTTTCTACTCCTAGCATATCACTGGTCCTGTGGTTTGGACCCACCCCTGACCTTTTCTCCCTTGGTGGATTGCTAGTCATGTGGTAGACTCCTTAGAGGAGGAGCAAGGGGGCCAGAGAATAGCCTCATATGACTCCCATGCAAGCCCTTGCATGGTCACTCTCTTAAGCCTTATGCCCTCAGGACAATGAGGTTCTGGCCCCAATGAAATAATCTTAAGAAGAAAGCTTCAGGTTTATTAACCACAAAGACAGAGTTGTGGCTAGACTAGAGATAATATCGAGACCTCAGTTGTGTCTCAGCTCCAGGCCCAGAAAAAGCAGCAAGGCCAGGCAGGGCAATATCATGGCTGACATTAGGACCAGCTGCAATGACTAATTACCACTTGCCCTGATGCTGACCAATTAGTGGAGACCACGATCCTGAGAAGACATACCTGAAAAGCTGATGAATATTCTATTGAGACTCTCCCCTGACACCTCCCCTAAAATCTCTGCCTTTGGAAAACAGGTAAAACCCCTAAAGACAAGGACCCAGAATGTGCTCTCTCTCTTGAGCATGCCCACATTCTGTCCCCTCTCCCTTCCCCAGGTGCATTTTCTTTGCCATTCTTTCTCATAAGCCCTTCTTTCACCACTGTAACTTTGTTGAGTCCATGCAGCCTTGCTGTCTCTGTTCTACAGTTCATTTGTTCTACTGCTGTGGCTTTATAAATAAATTTTCACTTGTATCTGAGTCTTGCCTCTAAATACTTTATTAGCCAGAACTCAAGGTCTGAGGTCTAACAATGTGATGCCAGTTCACTGTTAACATAAGGACCTGGGTTATTGATGACACTTTCTCAGAGTGAGTGTGAAGATACAAAAGACTCATTGATGCAACTTTTCTTTTATTTCCTCCCTTTTCTTTAAAGCACAGAAATAAGAGAATGACATAGAAGTCCATTTTACACGTGTAAAGAGTTTACTGTAACTCCTTCTTATCCTCATGGTTTCCAAAAACCAGGAAGAGAATTTTAGAAAGGGCCAGATGGGCCATAACAAGGAGCATGGGGATTTTACCTACAGCCTGTGGGAATCTACACCTTGTGGAACCTGTATCAGTGATTTTACACAATTGAAATGAAATGAGCCATGGGGGAAAAAATCTATCATAAGCCACCTTCGAAGGATTAAGTGTTAGTTTTTCTTTTCTTTTGGAGAATCAGAGAGGTCCCTTGCTTCCTATAAAAAAGTAAAGAGCATAAAATTTTATTCAAGAAATAAACAAAAATATGATTTAGTTTCATGTAATAGTCAACTGGAAATGAGATAAGGAGGGTAGCAAAGGGAGAGGATGTAGGATGGAGGCACTGAGGAAGGGAATGGAAGAGAGAGTGCTGGTGAGCAAATAGGGGGTTGGGTATTGGAACATGTTGTGAGGCTTACCAAGTCTACCGACTGCCTTCTGTGGCACCATCAGAGGAATGACAGCCAAAGCTCTGCAGGGATGGGAACTTTCCACTTAGAACAGGCTGATGTAGGGTGGAGTTTTGGAATGATATAGCGCTGATCAGAGCAATATTATCAATACCTGAAAGGATGGATGACTTCAACCCAGATCCCCACATCTGCAACTCCTAGGCCTAGGTAGCTGCACCTGAAATGTTATGAGGCCTCCCTAGGTCATCTGACCTAGAGGTCCTAAAACAGGGTAGCACGATTGCCAAAACTTGATAAAGCAGAATGACACTTCTAATTACAAGGAGACTGTGACCCAAGACAGGGCCTTTGTTTCTTATTTAAACACACTTCTTCATGGAAGCAAATATTTCAAGTTCTTATGCTAGTGTACAACAATATATTCCTTTGCATTGCAGAAACCTTTGATTGATTGCCTGTGATGGCTAGAGTATTTTGTGAGGGTCTGCCCAAGTCATAGAGGAATAAAACCTGGAGAAGGCAGTCAGCTAACTGCATACTGGCACATGAGAGCTCTGCTCAGGGTTTCCGGAAGACCACTCAGGAGTGAGCAGTTACTTCCCATAGAGAAGTACAGGGAGCCCAGAGGCTGGATAGTGAAGGAACATGACCAAATCTACTTGAGACTATACAATGAAAAATACTATTTTAAATATTGGCTTTTGACTTATGTTTTTTAAAATATTATCTTTCTTGTTGAAAGTATTATAGATACTCTTTTTCCCCCAATTGA